GGCTTATTTTTATTTTTTGAGACAGGTCTTACCTCGCCTAGACTAAGGTCAAACTCTCTATGCAGCTGAGGATAACCTTGGATTTAGGGTCTTCCTGCCTCCATTTTCCAAGTGCTAGATTTACAGGCGTGCACCATCATGCTCAATGTACACAGTGCTGAGGACTGAAAGCAGGCCTCTGTGCATGTTTAGCAAGCACTCTACCAGGTAAACTACATCCTCACACTCCAGGATAGACATTGAAAATCATTTGTGGAGTGGGGCATAGTGGTGCACTCCTTTAATCCCAGCACTCAGGATGCAAAGGCAGGCAGATCTCCGTGAATTCGAGGCCAGTCAGGGCTACACAGTGAGACCCTCTGTCAAAAACAAAACCAAACAAATAATTTCTGGGGCTGGAAGGATGGCTCAGCAGTTACATCAGGCAGTACACAACCACCTGTAAACCCAGCTCCAGGGGATCCAAGGCCTTCTACCGGCCTCGGTGGGCACCCACACTCAAGCATACAGACATACATGCGGACAGACACACATACATGTAAATAAAAAATTAAAATAAAAAATAAATCATTTACAAAAGTGTTAAGTAAATGCAAATACAAAGAAATAATAAGGACCTGGGCGATAGTGGCACACGCCTTTAATCCCAGCACTCAGGAGGCAGAGCCAGGCGGATCTCTGTGAGTTTGAGGCCAGCCTGGTCTACTGAGTGAGATCCAGGACAGGCACCAAAACTACACAGAGAAACTGTCTCAAAAAACCAAAACCAAACCAAACCAAACCAAATAAATAGTAAGAGCAACTTAACCAATAACTAACATTCACCAGCTGCTTACTACCCGCTGGGTATTGAGTGATCTACTTTGCTTTCTTTATAACAGCGCCATGGTATGGGTATTATGTTATCCCTCTAGGTATTTATGGAGGAGGACATTGAGGCTCAGGGTGCCCTGGGGCTCAGTCACTGGCCCAAGTCTGAGAGCTGGTGCTTGGCCTGGCAGGGCTGGAACAGATATCACAGCAGCTGCGGCACCTGCAACCGACTCAGGATTCTCTGGCTCCTGTGCATGGCTGCCTACTGTTTTATTTTATGAGACAGGGTCTAGCTACCCACGGCTAACCTCAGCTCTTTCTGCCTCTGCCTCCCCAGTGCTAGGACTACAGGTCCAGCTCCCCTAGCCCCTCTTAAGGAAAGGCTTCCAGAACCATTGGTGACAGGAGGTCTGGAGAGTGTCATTTGCAGTAGCTGAAGGGCCCGTCCAGGAATGTGGCTCTAGCTCTGGGTCTCAAGTTCCTTATCATCCCCAGTGCACAAGACCCACTGCTGGTGGACAAGAGTCCTCAGGAGCAGTAGTGAGGAAATCGAGGAAAAGTGTTGGGGAGTCCTGGGCATGCCTGCTACTTACCCAAAGATGGGTGACTGAGCCCAGGCATGCCTGCCACCCACCTAAAGATGGGTGACTGAGCCCAGGCATGCCTGCTACTTACCCAAAGATGGATGACTGAGCCCAGGCATGCCTGCTACTTACCCAAAGATCGGTGACTGAGCCCAGGCATGCTTGCCACCCACCTAAAGATCGGTGACTGAGCCCAGGCACTCCTGTTACCCACCTGCAGCCCAGGCCCCGGGAGCCCACTAGACTGATGAACACCTTCTTCTCCTTGGTTGTTCGATTGCCAGGAGAGCCCACGCCACCTCGCACACCCTGAAGGAGGGACGGAGGCAGGTTATGGGTCTACACGCATTCAAGTGGCCTCTTGAGCTTGAGACCTTCAGATGAAGTTTCCATATTCGCAGAGATCCAATAGCCGTTGTGGGGTCTGGGTGTGGGTCTGGAGGCCCAGCGCCCCATAGGGGTATACAAGGTACCCTAGGGGCCTGTGTGAAGCCCCAGAGGGTACATTCCCCGGAACCACCCCTCCTTCAAGGCCAGCTGCCCAGCACTCATCAGAGGTAACCCTAGTCTCTTACCCCAGACTCTGACACAAATTGATCCACATACTGCCACTTGAGAGGCTCCTCGGGAGAGCTGAGGAGAAGGGGACATAGAAGGTGGAGCCAGTAAGTGCATTTGAGAGGCCTGGGATATGTGAAGTCCTCACCACCACCACCACCACCACCACCCCGCCCCTGCAGCCCAGGAGCAGTGCCGGTCACGGCATATGTGAACCACACGTCAGAACTCAGGGCCTGCAAGGCGACTCAGATAGGCCTGCTTACCTCTTCACAGGGATCAGGCCGATGTCTGTGGGAAAACACAGCATGTTAGGGAAGCTCCTGCACCCTTGGAGTTGGGGCTTGACAGCCACCCCCCACCCCCCACCCCGTCACAACGCTCTAGTCCCATCTGGCCTGACTCACGTCTCACTTTGATGGACACAGTCTTCTTGGTGCGGATCAGGTTGATGACTTCCTCGTGGGTACAGGAGGAGATGGAATAGCCATTGATCCGGACAATCTCGTCCCCTACCTTGACACAGAGAGATGAGACAAGTATGAGGCAGAGTGCCAAGGAGGCCCCCACTACCAGATGCTTGCAGCCCCAGGAGAAGCCATCAACCAGCAAAGGCTTTTATCTGTGCTCTAGTACCGTGTCACAGCCAAGCTACCCTCCAACAGTGGAGGGATCCAAGGCGGGCAACACTTCAGTTCCAGGATGGAGAAACCAAGATCTGGGGTGGGGAGAAGCATGCAGGGGGTGGGTAGCAGAGCTGAGGCAGGGGTCAGGGCTCTGTCCCCTCATCTTGGTTCCCCTGTTTCCCCACTGAGGTACCATCAGGTTCTGAGATCCAGCAGCCCACCTGGCCTTTGTCCCTCCCTGTCCTCAGCAGCGGCCTCTTGTCTCTGTCCATTACTAACACACACACTGAGCTGGAAAGGGGACCTGTGACTCTTGACCCAAGCTCACATCACTAACGCCAACATACAGTCTCTTTTGTTCCATCCCATGGAAACCCAATGAAGTTAAACTGACTTCTGAAACTTGATTCTGGGAGCAAGCAAAGAACAGAGAACGAACACAGGGCTCTGTGCCCCGTGGGTTCAAATCCTTCCTTGTTAATTCTTATTAGCTATATGAGTTGAGTAAAGTCTCTTGAATTCTCTGAGCCATAGTTTCCCTCATACATAAGACTGGGAACACCACAGAGCTGTTGAGAATTAAACAAACATATTATAAGGTGAGTAAGGCCAGCCAGTATGGGGTCCAGGGCAGCTTCTTAATAAATGTTGCTATCATTGAGGAAGCCTGTGGAGCCAGCTCTGAGAGGCACACCGTGATGAGACTGCCCCCTGCTGGCCATCGCCTCCTCCAGGCACGTGGGCCTTGGGGATTTATACTGAAGCTCCTCAACCGGTAACCAAAGAGCGAAGGATCCTTGGATATCAACGTCTCATGAAAGAGAAGACAGTGGGGACAGGCAACAGGGTGGTTGGGGTGGGGTGCGGGGTGGCGATGATGTATTGCCCAAGACCACGAAGGCAGTAGCTGCCACACAGGAACAGAACACAGGCATCCTTCTACAGACTGAGGTTATGGGCTTCACTGAAACCCCATGCACAGGTCCCTTGGAGACAGGCTGCCGCAGGTCGGGGACTCAGGCTGGACTCTGAAGGGACACGGTCTCCAGATGAGTTCCCAGAATGCAACACTCCCATAGTCACTTCTCATTACCACCGGGCAAGGGTCTGCCCCTGCCTGGGACACAAACCCCCATCATCTCGGTGTCCTCACAGGAGGGCTCACTAAAGAACTTCCTACATTTCTGGGGACACTGGCTTCAAAGAGGACCTCTGTGGAGCTCCTGACACCTATCTTTACAGCCCCAAAGGGCGGGATCTTCTGCTTCTGCTCTGCACGGACCCTGCAAAGAGGCCTTCACGTGGGGACCACAGTGGCACTATGAAGAAACAGAGGCTCAGAGAGTCGCCCAGGGAGCAAAGAGGCTGCTGGGCTGTGTAGTCAGGTCTCCATGACACACACCACATTAGCCCTTGGGTGTGTGGAAAAGAAGGCTTCCCTGTGTCCTGCCTGCTCTGGGTTCCTGCCGCCTGGTCAGAGCCCCGGAGTCTCACGGGAAGGCAGGGATTGTCCATAGCTGGGACAGGAAAGGCATGGAGTATCATTTTCTACATGAGCAAGCAGCCAGCTACATGCTTGTGTGAGTCAAGGATAGATAAACATGAAGAAAGTTTGAAAAGTATCCAGGAGGGGTCAGGAGTGGCGGAGAGGCTGAAGTCCCAGAACTAGGTCCTATTGGAAGGTTCAATCTGGCCCCTGCAGGGCACCGAGCCTCTCAGGTCAAATCCCTCCTGCCTTCTAGCATCTTCTCTGTGCTGTCCTCCAGCAGGAGGAACGTGAACCCTGATTCAGTCAAGGGATGAAGGCAGTTTTGTCCTCGCTCCTCGTGAGCGGAGGAGTCCCGTGTTGTCACTACAGGCGCTTACCTGGGACCCCCGTCAGAAAGATTCCCACATGGCCCCTGGATAGGGTTGCGGGATCCGTCCCCCCGCCCCCACCTCTCCACGGAACCCTGCAAAAGAGCCTTTGTATGGAGATCACCGTGACATGACGATCTGAAGGACAGGGGACAAAGAAGAGATGGCCAACGGCCCCATAGAGGGGGCTGCTATTTCATAGGCCTGAGAAGCAGGTGGGAAGGTGGATGCCTGGGTTTCAGGAGAGTGCCCTGGTGTCCTCCTTCCTGGGGCCCCCACAGGGAAGCGCTTGCCCTCCCAAGAGCTCACTCTGGAAAGAAGGGGGCCCAGCTGACGCCAAGAGGGGAGCTCATTATGTGTTCTCCTCTGGCTGTTTCTGGGCTGGAAAATGTGCCACAGAGAGAACGAACAATGAAGGAGCTGAAATTTCAGATGCCACTGAGAGCCCTGAGACGGGACTGCGAACAAAGCCCTGTCTGTCAGCTGGCTGTCCCCACCCCCCACCCCACCCCCGCCTTGGTGTCCTGCACCATTAGCACTGGAGCCCCCTGGAGCCCCTGTCTTGTCCCCCACCCCCATGGGGATGTCGATTACAAAAGCTCTGGAAGTTTCTTTACCTGGACAGACAAAAACAGCTCTGAGACCTGGAGGGCTGCCTTTCCCCGCTCAGACACAAAAGTGCAGGGACCACAGGGGAGAAACCTGGGGCACTGCCAGGGCTCCAGGAGACCCAAGGTCAAAGTCTGGCTCTGCTGCTCTGACCGCTGAGCCTCGGTGAACCCTATAAAGCGAGTCATCTCGTGTGTGCTGACTCAGTGGTGGTGCTCACCAATCCCCCCCTACACTGACATCACCTCACGGCCCTGGTGGCTCAGGCAGCCGCCATCACCGTCTCATTTCACTCCCGGTTCTCGAATAGCCTGATGGCTTTATAGATGAGGAAGGTGGGGTCCGGGATCCCATCACTTCGCTAAAGTCACAGCTTTCAGGAAGACAAGGCCAGGATCTGGATGGGATGGTCCAGAAGTGGTGTCTGTGTTCTTAAGCATCACACTGCTTTAGACTAAGCTGCAGGTGCCTGCCCTAAGCCCGCTCCTCCTGCAGGAAGTGGGGAGTGTGTGTGGGGGTGCTCGGTGGCAGGGGGGAGGCAGGGGGGGCTCAGTGGCAGGGGGGAGGCAGCAGGTTCCCAGCTTGACCTGAGAAAATGGGCAAGGGTGGGAGAGAGTTCCATGGTGGAGTGTTTGTCTAGTATGTGTGAGGACAGACAGACACACACACAAAGAGACACATAGACACACATGCAAGCAGACATACACAGACACATACACACACACGGACAGACACACACACACAGACACAGACACACAGACACCCACAGACACAGACACACAGACACACACAGACACCCACAGACACAGACACACAGACACAGACACACAAACACACAGACACAGACATACAGACACAGACACACACAGACACATACACACGGACACACACACACACATAGACACACACAGAGACATAAACAGACACAAACACATATATACACACAGACACACTCACACACACACACACACACACACACACATAGACACAGAGACATAAACAGACACAAACACATATACACACACAGACACACACATAGAAACACACACACACACACACACACACACACACACACACACACACACGAGTTTTCCTGCATCCTGAAGACTTTCACTCACCAAAACACCACTTTGACATTCCCCCCTTCCCCCAAAGGCCTAAGAAAATGGGTGTCCACATTGTGCCACGGAGTGGATCAGGAGGAGACAGGGCAGCTGAGACCCTGGCCCCGTTCTCCTGGCTCTGTTGACTCACCTGCAGCCCCACACTGTCTGCCTGACCACCTTTGATGAGGTGGGAGATGAAGAGTCCACAGCCAAATTCCAGGCCTCCACGCACGCTGAGGCCGAGGCCTTCTGGGTGCAGACGGTCCAGACGTACCTCCTTCAGCTTCCTGTTACAGTGACGGGAGGGGGTAGGGTGGGGGGGTGGTGGGGAGTGGTTGGTGATGGCCCAGCTCAGGCCTGGCAGCCAGCTCTTCACCCGGGGTGGCCCCTCCCAGTCCTCGCCTCTGGCCTGGGGACGCACCTGGAGCGTCGGGGTGTCAGCTGGTCATACTCCACCTGGTGCTTCAGTGGGATCAGGGGCCGGATGGCATCGAACAGGGGCAGACGGCTGGGCTCATTGATGACCAGCTTCAGGTCTCCCACGAGCACGGCCACATCCATGGTCCTTTGGAGAGGTCCCAGGGTGGGTGAGTGTCCCACCCGCTGGACTTCTGGGCCCTAACAGAGCTTATAAGCCGAATGAATCAAAAGCACGTGGGTGACCAGAGACAGCAGACGAGGTGGCTGGGGGACAGCTGGCTTTCTGGTTCCGTCCTAACATTCACATTCTAGTGAACCTATCTGGGTACTCGACTGCTACCCCAACAGACTGGAAGCAGCCTGAGGTCAAAGGTCAGTCTTTTTGTTCACGGTATACCCCTGAGCCCTAGCCCAGGGCCAAGTCCGAAGTGTTCGTGTGAACACACACTGAAGCTTCAAGCAGGTGAGCGAGCATGTACGTGGGTTCCCAGGAGCACGGAGCAGGTGCTGTCTTAGGGCATCACCATTCTGTACTCCTGGGACACAGATGGGCTGCCTGGGCTTGGCTACACATACTTACTGGTGGTACATCCGCAGCACATCATAAAGATAGTCCTTCTCTGCGTCATTTTCAATTAGAAAATCCACCTGAAAGTCCAAAAAGCAGAACATAGCTCCAGGTCCCATGAGCACCCAGCATGCTCCAACAGACCCGGGGAGGAGAGGTCACCATCCAGAGTGCCCACAGCAGCTCCTGAGGCTAAGGATGGAAGAGGAGAGAAAGCCAGGGACCAAGCTGCCTGACATATCAGACCTATGCAGAACACCTCGGAACGGCCCAGAAACATCTTATCCCCAGGCAATGTGACAGAGGCACACACAAGGTCAAAAACACATGTGCACACATGACCCCCATCCAACAATGACACCCCCACCCCCGTATTACTGCTGCCAGGCTCTCCCTGTGTCACCCGTGGTGGGAAGAAGCCCACAGTCTCACCTGATGGTGGCTGTAGTGGCGGATAAATGCTTTGAGGAAGGATTTGGGCCACTCACTCAGATAACACATCCCATCCACCAGAAGCACCCAACCACTGAATTCCTCCGGGCTGCCTCTGCCGGGACACTTTGCCCTGGCCTAGCCTGGCCTTGAGGTCTGTCCACTAGTCAGCCTCCTGGCCTCTCCTTCTCCATCCCGGGTGTCCCCCGCAGGGGGAGGATTAGGTTACATCACTCCAGCTTTGCTGACGTCAATAGCTGGGCCTCCGAGGTCATGTTCAGGAGTTTCATTAGCACCCCCATCCCTGCTGGGATCCAGGAGCCCCAGATTCTGTACTTCAGCAAAGTCCAGTGCAAATCTCCAAGGGCTGCATCCTGGATTTCTCTTTAGCCCAAGACTGAGCGGCAGGACGAGGCATGTGCTGGAGGGGACATGGGGACCTCCTCCCCTCAGGTCTCCAGGGCTAGTTAGCATTGTGGTCATGTCTCTGCTCTTGATAAGAGAAGCTGCTGCAAAAGCCAAGCTCTCCTGCCTGCCTGGAGCAGGACTGGGCAACCGTGCCTTCTCTACAGGTACCTCAAGGACTTTGGAAGACCCTGGAGAGTCTGCCCAGTGTAGAGAGGACCCTGAGGCCCAGCCCTTGGAGCTTTGGACCTGAGCAGGAAATGCAGATTCCCAGTTTCCACCTGGAAGTCCCCTTCCTCCTATATCTACATGTGTATTTGAGGATAGGAGGAACCCAGAAGGATGTGTGATGGTGACTCTCGAAGCTCCCCCAACTACGTCACCCTTCCTTATGGCAGGAGCTCCCAGCAGACAAGAGCTGGGGAAGAGGCGTCATAGGTGGTACTGAATCCCTAGGACCAGGCCCAGAAAAACCTTCATGGAGAAGATCATATATCACGTGAGTGCTTCTTAGCTTCTTGATGCACGTAAAATCAAAGGATGAATATGTACCTCAGTGTTGGAGGGCCTGACTGTCACACACAAGGCTCTGGAGTTGATTGCCATCATGGAAAAAACAAACAAATGAAGCAAAAACCAACCAACCAACCAACCAACCAACCAGCCAGCCAGCCAGCCAGCCAACCAACTGAACGAACAAACAGAAAACTCCCCTTCTCTGGAAGTCCTTGTCCTAACCTGCCACTCTTCCTGACTGTGGGGGTCTCCTTTTAGGTCCCTGTATAAGCCAGACCCTCACCCCCTCAGCCCCACGCTCAGGCATATGCTCTCCTCTGCTCTCCACTTCACCCCCAGGGCTGACTTCTTTGCCACAGAGGCCATTTCTCCAACCTCCTAACCAACCTACTCCCACTCCAGGAGACCTCTCGGTTCTGCTGGGACATTACTAATCATGTGTAACTTCGGTTTGTAATTTTTTTGGAGTTTGTCTCCTAGAAGAAAAGGTCCGCTTCGGTCTGCACTCCTCATGACTAATGCAGATTAAGTACTCAATCGATAAGCCTTGAATGGATGAGGCATTAGTCTGCCTCTTGGTCTGCCCATGCCCTTCGGGAAGAAGAGCCATGGCCACAGAAGGGGAAGAGAAGACTCTCGCAGGTTTCCAGAAGCTCCTATGGTGACATCTGTTCAAGCACCAGCTCTATGGGACCCTTATTCTCACACCGTTATACAGGGAGTATCACAGCGGTGACCCAAGGCCACAGCTAACAAGCAGAGCTGGGATTTGAACCCAGGTCTAGTAGGGCTCAGGTCTCCTCTGGCCAAGAGCACCCAAGTCCCCTTCAGGCCCCAACATCCAACCCTTTGCCTTAAGAGACATCCTCACCTCTCTCTTCTCTACTGTTTTTTCTTTTGTTTGTTCGTTGTTGAGACTAGGTCTCACTGTGTAGCCCTGGCTGGCCTGAAGCTTAATATGTAGACCAGGCTACCTCAAACTCAGAAATCTGCCTGCCTGCCTTTATTCTCCGAGTACTGGGATTAAAGGCAAGCACCACCACACCCGACTGACTCTTCACTGTTACTGAAGCTTGGAGGGCGGGGGCTCAGTGGTAAAGTGCTTGCCTGGCATACATGAGACTCTAGTTTGATACCCAGGATGCCCACCCCCTCCACCCACACCTCTGCCTCTTCACTTGGTCCATAAGGAAGGAGAAAATGGAACATCTTTTAAGTGACACTTTGAACCTCAGTGGTTCTGCTCTTTAGCGGGGCATAACAGCCCTGTCTGCTGAGTTGGAGGGAGGCAGCTAGTGGGTGAGGACAGGAGAGGGAATCTTCTATTGGCAGATGTCTTGGGACTGACTTTCCCTTCTGTCTCTCTAGAGACTGCATCTGCTGCATGCTTAGGTTTAAAGAGCAAGGGACAGTCCTCATGGATGACACTTAATATGCACGGACTGGAGACTAGAAAATCAGGGTAGGAAACTGAAGAGGACTTGGCTATTTAGGGTTCATGATTCTATTTCTCTGTCTTCCTAGAGCCAAGCACAGACAACTGGAGATGGTCTTCCGAGAAAACATCCTGCTCCTGGGACCCCAGGCCCTGTGGACAGCTCTTAGACGCCAACTGCTGCATCCAGAGCCCCCGCCCACAAGTCATACCCTTCTAGTCCACTTCTGAGACAGCCTGCAGGCCTGGCTCTGCCTCACCTGCAGCTCACACCAACCCTGTCCTGGTGTGTCCACGTCTGCAGCAGCATCTTCTCCACATTCTGTGAACAACTCAAGGCTGTAGCCAGACAAGCACTTCCAGGGGCGCAAAGGCAATGGAACCTTCTCAGCACCAGCCCCCACCCACCCAGCTTTGTTCCTTGTTTTTTAAGATGGGGTTTCTCTGTGTAACAGCCCTGGCTGTTCTGGAATTCATTATGTAGCCAGGCTGGCCTCGAACTCACTGAGATCTGCCTGCCTCTGCCTCCTGAGTGCTGGGACCAAAGGCGAGCGCTGCCACCCCGCTGCCCCAGCCTCTCTTATAATCTCTAAGTCATCCTTTCAGAATCGCCGGTATACCAATGAACCAGGGAGGCAGCTCCATTTAGTGCAGACTGCTCTGGAGGTAGGAATGTGAAGCCGAATGTCAGGGGGCTCCACAAATAGAGGGACCATTCCCAGTCCAAAAATGTCTCCACGGAGACTTGAGGGAACAGTAGGGCTTTGTTCTCTGAAAATACTCTCACACCTCATTCTACAGACTTTCAAGGGCACACAAGAAAGAGAACAGAAATACAGAAGTCTCTGGAAATCTGGCTGTGTGGTAACAATGCCACCATCACTCACACTGCCCTTTAAAACTATGGTTAGCAGCCAGGTGGTGGTGGAGCAAGGCTTTAATCTCAGCACTTGGGAGGCAGAGGCAGGAGGATCTCTGTGAGCTTGAGGCCAACCTGGTCTACAAAGCAAGTTCCATTACAGCCAGAGCTGTTACACAGAGAAACTCTGTCTTGAAAAACCAATATATATATTTGTTTGTTAATTAGATAGTAATGCCTCCTCCTGGAATTCTCCCGAACACCAGTCTGTAAATGAGCTTTAGGAGGTCCTGCTCTGGGGCACTGTGTGCGACTCTAGGCACATAAAAAGTTCCCAGCACATAGTAGGTCTTAGCACTTGGTTTCTCCCCTCCTCTCTGGCTGTGATCTGTTTCCCCATGGTCCCCAGTGGACATGCCATGCATGCAGATGCACACTCCTGGCATCTGCTGAAGAAGGAGTGAACTCCATCAGCTCCGATCTTGAGTCTCCCTTCCCTTCTGCTTCAGTCTTGGGTCAGCATCTTGTATCTCCTCAGCACACATGTCTGCAGCCTCCCTGGTCTGTTTCCTCCTCACAGAAGAGCTGTTCCCAGACTCAGCAAGGCAGCTCTGCCTCCTCTCACGGGAACCCTGTCTTCCTGGAAGAGGCGGGCTGAGCCTCCTCCTCTAGAGTGTCCTGGAGGTCCAGCCTAAAGCCCCTTCCCATCCCTTCATCCTGGCTGCACTCTGCTCACTGAACTACCCTGCCAACAGCCACAGGAGATAGACCTTATTATCCCATTCCACGGGTGAGGAAACAGAGTCGAGAGACAGATCTGAGACTCTAGACTAAGCCTGCTGGCTCTCAAATCCCATCTGCCACATGGTATCCACTTCCTGTGTATCTCTTTGGTGCCCTTGTCCAACACACATTTATTAAGCACCTACTGTGTGCTAGATGCCAATCTTGTTTAACTAAATTTAGTAAGCTTTTCCTTTCCTAGGCCCTCACTTGCCACGGGGGAGCAGAAGCCCTAACGGAGCTCTCGGTGTCCAGGAGCTGTTAGTGGTCTCTACTACACCATCACCCCGTGTCCACCCAGCACTAATGTTCGCCCATTGATGTGCAGCCGGCGGCGGCATTGTGTTCCGAGCACTTCTCCCTCCCCTTGCCTCCATGGGTGACTCACTCAGGCCGGGAGAAAGGGGGTGTGAATCAATGAAATAATCCTTGCTGCACTCTGCATGCTTCCTAAGCTGCTATGGGGATTGAAGCACTCGGTGCAGCTTCCAGCTGCAATGCCCTGCCTTTCCCTCCCTGTGCCCTACCCAGCCTCCTCCCCGTCCTTGCCCTGGGGGCTTCGCAGGGCCTCCCAGGCCCTCAGTGTGTTCTGCTGGTGGAAGACACAACAACATGAGGACACGCAATATGAAGAGAGAGGAAGTGTGTCC